GATCACTGCAACTTGACATCCATACACCAGATGTAACATAGATTAGAACCATGTTGTTTGATAGATAGAAGAGGTGGTTATGTCGATGAGGAAAAGAGAGAGACAAAGAAGAGAACGAGGGAGAGTAAGATCGTGAGAGAGAAAATCGTGGAGAGAATATTTTTTGGAAGATTTTTGTTAGATTTGGTGTAGATTTAGGTAAGTTATTTTTCGAAATATGGAAGTTTCCATATTTACTCGATTTAGGTATAATATGTAATCTACGTTAACCAGAGTAATGAAGGGAGGGTCGGTTGTTGATTCTAGCATAGACCTATGATAACGTAAAAGGTAGATCAAGTTATAACACATAATCCAAACTGGGTAGTCGTTAGACTCACGGTTATAAGTGGGAGATATGCGTAAAATAGACTATAGACATTTTGTTAGAATACTTTTTCAAGAAATCTACCGAAGGTACAATACAGAAGAATGATTTGTTTCTGTTCTATACCTAAGCTACATCTATGTGTAAAACCTACTATCTGATTTCTAAACGAAGTAGATAGCTAGAATGGGTAATCTATCCTTGCTATAACATTAAATAAAACATGACTCCATAATTTATTTAATAAAAATTTAAACATATAAATAGTCATACTAATGTTTACTAACACTTACATATTTTTTTTATATTTTTAAAACTTAGTTTACTATTTTTTCTATTACACAAGGGTAAAACATGTCCAATTTGTCCAAAAATATCAAAAGTCCCATTTGGCCAAATAAATATTCAAAGTGTCTCCTTTTTCCAATTCTCTCTAAAATTTATGTCCGTATACATTCAACTCTGACATGTAACTCGTAAATATTACCTACATCGAATATTGTTTTATCTTTCAAGTTTTGGGGTTTTTTTTAGTTTGTGTGTTTCATTATAAAGACAAATAACATATATATAGGGCATTTTCGTGATCTGTAGGTAAATTCTTTTACAACTGATTTACAAAGGCAAACTTTTACATTGTTTCAACAATTAATACGAAAAACACATTTTGACCTAAAATATAGGTATACTTGTAAAATTATTTTAAATCGTTGAAAAACTATTCGTCGTAAAATCATAGCTCCTTTACATTCAATTTACGATGAGTCTTCTCATAATAAACTATTAATTTCATAGACTGTATAATAGATTCTTCAGAAAGCCATATTGCAACATTACGTACTCAGTTTTAACATTCATATGTAGGCAACTTCAACTCAATAACTTTTAAAATATTTTTTATATATACATATCTCTATAATATTATTTGAGAAGTCATTTTCTTACGTATCGCACTCACGTTAACTCTTGCGATGTTGATTACATAGATACCCTTAATGAATTGTTAGATTTTAAGATTATTATGAATTTTTTTATTTAATTTATTTTTTTACTTTTTCCAGATAATATATATAATAAAAACGAAATATTTCTAAAATTTTAAAACAAATTTAGAAACGAAAATATATGTATATAATATGACTTTATTAAAAAGGAAAGTTCACAAAATAGTAATAACCACATTAATATATATTTTTAAAATAACATAAAATATATTTTCAAAATAATAAAAATATATATGTCTATGAACATCCAAAAATTTATCAGTTACACTTTATTTTCTAATATTTTTTAGAAATCAACATATAATTTGATAAATATTAGGAAAATACATGTATATTTAAGCAATAAATAAAACTAATTTGATTTGACTTAACTAAAATAAGGAGTAAATAAATATGATGAAAATATTTGAATATTTAAGCGATAAAATAACTAATTTGATTTAACTTAACTAAAATAAAATAACCTTCGATTTTAATTTAAAAATATATTTAACCCAATATACTCACAACATGAATGACTCGACTAATCTAATTTATATCCAAAATTAAACATCTAACTAGAATAAGAACATATAATAATAATAATAATAATAATAATAATAATAATAATAATAATAATAATAATAATATATATAATTTTATACATATAAATTGGAGGTTGACTCAAAGCATATTAGAAAGAAAAAGAAGATACTAACCAATTACAATTTAATTCTTTTTGTAGAATTTATATATATGCATGAGACTTCAAAATATTATCATTATATTCATTTATGTAATTTTGAATCAAACACTTCATCTTATTATTTATTTAATTTTAAGCACAATATATATTAAGATATACATAATTTAACTATAATATATTTACATATCTAAGAAGATATTCACATATCTAAGACAATAACCAACCAAAATGCAAATAAGAAAATTAATAAAAAATTTATTATATTTAGAATAAAAAACTATTATAGCTAAATTCGAAAAATAGATATTATCCAATATACCAAATTAATAACCAAACCGACTATTGATCCAAAAAAAAATTAAACCGACAATAATATATCCAAAGTCATATGTATATTAGAATAATATAATATTTACTAATATAAATTATACTTATAATTTGATTCAAAAATAAAACTAAATATCAATCAATTATTGTAAAATTTTAATTTTATGAATATTCATACCCGAAGTAAGTTTCATACGTATTGCGCTCACGTTAACTCTTGCGATGGTTAATTACATAGATACCCTTAATGAATTGTTATATTTTAAGATTATTATTAATTTTCTGTATGTAATTTCTTTTTTACTTTTTCCAAATAACATATATAATAAAAAGAAAATATACCGACTATTAATCCAAAAAATAATTAAACCGAAAATAATATATCCAAAGTCATATGTAGAATTATAATAATATAATATTTATTAATATAAATTATACATATAAATTGATTCAAAACTAAAACTAAATATCAATCAATTATTATAAAATTTTACTTTTATGAATATTAATACCCGTGCATGAGCACGGGAAAATCACATAGTATTAGTAATTTAAACAAACAAATAAAACTAATATCCAATTTAAATATGATTATGTATTGGTGTTAATGTCTTATAGAAAATTAAATACTCTCATAATATTATTTAACTACACTTCATTTATTTTGGTTAAAATTTCTAAAATAGCAGTAAACATTTCTTATTCTATAGCACACGGAAAAATCAAAAATTATATTAATTAAAACTGAATATATTTATTTGGTTTAAATGATTAAGATTTGGATTTGCCACATAGTGGATGGAGTTAGGGTAAGAATTTAGAGTTTTGAGTCATATTTACTTTTAATTAATACTAGGTGATTCTTCTGTGATAATACATGTATATAAATATTTGTAAATATATTATAATAATTAAATTATATTTATTTTTCATTTTAAATAAAATTATATGTATAATTTAAATTAATAATTATATGATTTAATTAGGCATGCATAAGGTTTATGGATAAGCTATATTTTTTGCATCTATTTATCCTAATTCAACTATATAGTATTTTTTATTCAAAATATATTAAAATATTTATTAATTTTCCTATTTGCATTTAGATTGGTTATTGTCAGGTATGTCAATATATTTTAGTAAGATTATGTATAATTTAATATATATTGTTCTTAAAATGAAGTAAAAGGTAAACTTAAGTGTTTGATTCAAAATTTGTATATAAATGAACATAACAATAGTATTCTAAAGTCTCATATATATATATATATATATATATATATATATTACAAAGAAATAAACTGTAACAGTTGGTTAATATTTTATTTTTCTTTTATTAATATGTTTTGAGTCATCATGTAATTTATATGTATAAAACTAAATAGGTTGTATTCATATATTCTTGTTGTAGTTAGATCTTAAATTTTGGATATAAGTTGGACTAGTCGACTCATTCAAGTTGTGAGTATATTGAGTTACATATATGCTATCAAATTCAAATTTAAGTTTAATTATTTTTTATTTTAATTAAGTCAAATCAAATTAGTTTGGATTATCGCTTAAATGTGCATGTATATTCATAATATTTATCAAATTATATGTTGATTTTTTAAAATATTAGAAAATAAATTGATGATCAGTAGGAGGCTGCATACATAAGTATAAGTGAAAAATCTTTTGGAATATCATGAACACATATCAATATTTATAATAATTAAATTATTTCATAAATTTTAAATAATCTTTTACCTTAGAGTTTTTAAAAGGTAAACAGAAAATTATTTAAAATAATCATAGAAATGAGAACTTAGATTTGTTTGAGTATTTTGGTTATGGGTATAATTGTGATCTTTTTAATATAAAATCACATTGTATAAACAAATATTTTATTTTCATCTAAGAAATAAAATAGATATAAAGAATGTATTTTATTACTTTGAAAATAGATTTTATGTTTTTAAAATAGTTTTTAAAGGGAGAATTATTATTTGTGAATTGTCTTTTTTTAATGAAACCATATTATATAGACATATCTTTTCGTTTTGAAATTCTTTTAAAAATATTATAAATGTTTCATTTTTATTATATATGTTATTTGAAAAAAATGAAACTAAATAAAATTTAATAATAATATATAAATGTAATTTTTAATTCATTAATTCATTAAAGGTTGTAAGAATCAACCGTTGTAAGAACTTTAATTCATTAAAGTTATGAATAGTATATAAATGTAATTTTAATTCATTAAATATTTCTTCTGTAATTAACCGTTGTAAGAATTAACGTAAACGTGATACATAAAAAAATTGATTTCTCAAATAATATTATAGAGATTATTTTTTTTTGCGTTTTTATTATTTTTCCATAACTTTTTGTGATATCTAAGGGACCTGTCCTTTATTTAATCGATTGGCCAAAATAAAAGAATGATAAATAATGAAATTCACGTTAGTAGGACAGCTAGGAGCTAGCTTAGAAAAGAAAAAAAAGGTATGGTGTTGATTGGAGCATTAGTTTTTGTTGGTTAATTGTATAATCGCTGAACTTATGAAGCTTATAAAACGGGACAACATATGCTTTGAACCAGGCATCCTAAATACAACAAGATAAAGAGAGAGAAGTGATCAGAGAAAAGAAAAGCGATCAATATGGAGAAAAGGGTTTTGTACGGTTTGGTAGTAATACTAATGTGCTTGGTTGGTAATGGCTTTTGTCAAGGTATAAACAATTAACCATCTCACATAGATTATAATCAATAATATATCCTCTTTGTTTGATAATGTATTGATTGTACGTACGTAGGGGAAGTGCAAGGTGAAGAAGTTGAATGGGAACGCTTGCTTATGAATGCCCAACAACCCATATTGCTCACGTTAACGTCCTCGTTGTGCGGTGTTCCCTGCGGTATAGTAGAGGAACAAGTAAACCAACTCGCCAAAACCTATGATAACCGCATTATATTCTACAAAGCCGACATTTTGGAGAAGCCATTCTTTTCAAGACTCTACAAGGTGGTCAATGTCCCGACCCTTATAGTCTTCAAAGGTGGAAAAGAAATAAAGCGTCTAGACAGTGGTTTCTACTGGGGTGCAGTACATGACCTATTATTCAATTTCAAGGAGAACATATTCTATTATGTCTCGTCCGACGATGATTCGTCTGACTCGTCCGATGATTCTCCGTCGCCCACACTAGTAAAAAAACTCGTCATAGCCACGAAATAGCTACGAAAATTCCGTAGCAATATTGAAAATGCTACGAAAATGCTATGAAAAGCTACGAAATAAAAAATGTAGCTTTTCGTGTCTAAACGTAGCAAAAAAACTACGGAAATGCTACTAAATGAAAAACGTAGCAAAAAGAAGCTACAAAAGTGACACGAAGAATAACGTAGCAAACAATAACTACGGTTTTGCTACGAAAGTTTAGTGGCAAAACTGCTACAAAATTTATCATTGGTTATAATCGTAGTTAATTTGCAAGTAAATATCTTTTTTGCTACGATTTTGCTACAGATTTTTCCGTGGCTGTTATAAAATAGTCAAAAAAATTGAAACCCTAAACCCTAAACATACTTTTAAACCTTAAACTCTGAATATAAATTTCAAAACTTTATTTTAGTTTCAAATCTTAAATTTAAACTTAAAATTTAATCTTTTCAAATTATACTCTAAATCTTAAATTTAACATCAAACACTATATTCCAAACCATACACTCTAAACCTAAACATTATACCATAAATCATAAATCCAAACACCAAAACTAATATTTTTTAACTTAAAGCTAAAATATTAAATATATATTACAAACTCTATACCATATAAATCTATTTTCAAGTCTTAGCACTAAACTTTTAATTTAACCACAAATCTTTATCTCTAAACCTCAAACCCTATACTTTCAACTTAACCATAATCATATTCTTTAATTCTCATCTACATTTCTATTTATAATTTACAAATCTTAAAACTTAAAATTTTAAAGTATAAAAATAAATCTTACACCATATTAATTGAAAAATCATCTTTTTTTGGTGCAACTTTGAAAAAGCATCTATTAAACAGATATAGAGCAATAAAAAGAAAAAGAAGAGTAAAGCTGATATGTTTTCTCATTGGTCAAATATGGAATGACAAGGATCTCTATTTTCAGCCGTTGATAGATGATGATCCAACGGCCTTATTTAAGCAATTATTTATATTATTTTTTGTCTCTTATTTTTTACTCTTCTTTCTATTTTGTCTTCTCCCCTACACCATCACCATCTTTCTCTTCCGTGAATCTCTGCACATATCTCTTTCTTATTCTCTAAGCCACCACCACGGTCTCTTCTTTTTCTTCTTCTTCTTTTTCTTCAAACAATGGTAGACTCGAAGAAAGGACTAAGGAGGAGAGAAGAAAACATGGTCTAACTCTAAATCTAACGTCGTCACCACAACCGGTCAGCTCTCTCTCTCTCTAGATATATATCTCTCTTTGTTTTGAATCTGAAATTTTTGTTTTCTTGGTAAACAAAGGTAAGAGGAGGCAGAGGAGCTTAATGGAGGTGGTGGGGTGATGATGGTGTGGAAGCGGCGAAAAGACAACCGGTGGTACGTCGTGGTAATGCTGTGGTGGTGCGGCGGATGATGACGACGTTAGATTTAGATTTAGGTCTAATTTTATTTTCTTTTTTAGTATTTTTAATTTTGTAAATCAATTCTAATACATAAATTAATTTTAATTAATAAATTAATTTTCGATTTACTTTTATTAACATTTTATATATATAATTTTATTAATTTATTTTATTTGTGATTTATTTTTTTTTAATATATTTTTTCAAAAAGCAACGATTTAGATACAATATATTTCGTAGCATAAATTGCCAAGAATACACCGTGACAAAACGTAGCAAATTTGCTACGAAACAGGCCGTAGCACAATCGTTGCATAGTGCTTCGTTTTTGCTACGATTATTTTTCTGCTACGATGCTATAGCTACGGCTGGATATTCGTAGCATTTCGTAGCAAATCAGTGAAATAGCTACGAAAATCAATTCACAGCTACGAAATTGGACCATAGCTATTACGATTTTTTTTACTAGTGCCAGGCCTAGTCCGACTGCTGCATAATAAATTACCTAATATTTTACTCAAGTATATCCGGATCCGTCTCACCTCGGTCCTACTCCGAGGCCGCCTTGAATTATAGTAACGTCAATTTATATGTACTATTGTGTGTTTGCTTCAACTTTACTTTACTGAGATAAATAAAACTGGCAAATATATACTATCTGATATTTTGTTTGGTGTGTTATGATAAGTCAATGAAAAAGCTTATAGATGATTGACTTCATAATAGAGATTATCTTTATACCATAAAAGCATGGCTTCTCAGCCCCTCCACGTAATCCAAAAAATCAGACACCAAGCAAATTTCCATGTCAGTTTCGTTACTTGTTGTTTAGAGACTGTCCTTGACGGTGAACGATGGTAGAAGAAGAATAAAAGATGAGGAGGTGGAAGAGGAAGAGAGTGGCGTGATGTGAAATCTTGTGTAATCTCTTGTCTGATTAACGTAATAGAAGGTCAAGCCTATATACAACAGAATTTCCTTTTTACAATAAGGAAAGAGTTCTAAGTATCGTATCTAGAAGATACGTTAGACATATATCATACTAGGTGATTTTCCCGTGCTCATGCACGGATATAAATATTTATCAAGTAAATATATTGTGGTAATATATTGTGGTATATTCTAGTTTATTAATTTAGATAGATATTTACTTTTAATTATAAATTAGTTTATAATTTATACGTATAACTTATATTATATTATTTTAATTAAACATACGATTTGGGAGATGTTATATTTAATCAGTTTGGTTGTTGTTTTTGGTCAATAGTCGATTTGGTTACACTTGTGTATTTTAGATTGCATCTATTTTTCTGAATTAAACTATAATATTTTTCTTCTAAATATACTAAAACTTTGATTATTATTGCATTTAGATTGGTTATCATCTTATATATGTAAATATATTTTGTTAAGATTAGGTATAATTTAATATATATTATGCTTATATTGAAATTAAAAATAAACTGAAATTTTTGATTCAAAATTACATAAATGAATATAACGATAATATTCTAAAGTCTCATTCATATATATATAAATTTTACAAAAAAAAAACTGAATTATAACAGTTGATTAATAATTTATTTTTATATATTGATATTTTTGAGTCATCCTGTAATATATATGTATAAAAATAAATAAATAATTATTCTAAAATTATATGTTCTTGTTGTAGTTAGATCTTTTATGTTGGATATAAGTTAGATTATTTCCCTTACTCATTTTATGAGTATATTGAGTTATATATATTTTCTAATTAAAATGAAAATATAATTATTTTTGTTATAATTAAATCAAATAAAATTATTTTTATTTATCGATTAGTGCAAGTATTTTTATAATATTTTTAATAATTGAATATATGTTGATTTTTAAGAAATATTAAAAAATAAAGAGACGATCAATAGAAATTTACATACATAAATATGAGTATAGAGATAAACTTTGGAGGTTTCATGAGCACATATTAATATTTACAATAATTAAATATTTATAAATTCTAAATTATTTTATGCCTTACATCTCTTAAAAGGTAATCTGAAATGTATTTTAAGCAATCTTAAAAATGAGAACTTAGATTTACTTGAGTATTTTGATTATTTATATATTAAGTTCCACAAACATAAAAAAACATAAAATTAGAAAGCAAACTAAATATTAAAAATAATTTTTAATAATGATAAAATATTATATTTCCATTTCATTAATAGTGTATAGTGCTACTCTATTTAGAAGGGTTTTGAAATTATTTGATTAAAATATTTACTTTTTGTTAAAAAAATATATTTCTACTTTCCTTTTTAATATCTCTTAAATAAACACTAAACATGTTATTTTAGGAAAATTTTGAAAAAAAATTATTAAATTTCGTTTATATATAAATATTTATATTTCATAAATATTTCCTAATTATTTGTGTGTTTTAAAGACATAAACTTATATTAAAAAATTAGTAAAATCTTATTATGAAAAAAGGAAATACATTATTAATATCAATTAAATAAACACTAAACATATTATTTTAGGAAAATTTCGAAAAATTATTAAATTTAGTTTATATATAAAGATTTATATTTCATCATATTTCCTTTTTTATTTATATTTTTTAAGAAAGTAAACTTCTATTAAAAAATTAAGTAAAATCTTATTATAAAAAAAGGAAATACATTATTAATATCAATTTTATTTAATATTTTAAGTTCACTAAGGGTATCTATGTAATCAACCATCGTGAAATTTAACGTGAGCGCGACACCTATGAAACTGACTTGTCAAATAATATTATAGAGACTTCCTATACCTCCTTTAAGTAGGTGATACGAAATTTCGTACACCTAACTTGGACAAAAGGTTTTCAAAAGTTGGTCTTGGGAGAGCTTTAGTAAACATGTTAGCGACTTGATCTTTGGTGGAAATGTGTATGGTAGCGATAATACTTTTCTGGACCGCATCTCGAACCTGATGACAGTCAGCTTCGATATGTTTAGTTCACTCATGAAAGACTGGATTTGCAGCAATATGTATAGCAGCTTGACTGTCGCAGTGTAGAGGAACCGGATGAGAATGATCAAAACCAAATGTCTTTAAGAGTGCTTTAAGCCACTTAATTTCACGAAGTGTGTACACCATGGCGTGATACTCGGCTTCAGCAGAGGAGCAAAAAACCCTTTTTGCTTCTTTGTCTTCCAAGAGATAGGAAAGTCTCCTAAGTACAATGTATGCAGATAGAGAACGTCGAGTTATTGGACAGGCAGCCCAGTCGGAATCGCAGTACGCGGTGATAGTGAGGTCACTGTCCGAACGAAGATGGATGCCTTGGGCTGGCGAGCGCTTAAGGTATCTGACCAGTCGCAAAGCAGATTTCCAATGTGCTATCAATGGCGTCTTCATGAACTGGGACAGTATGTGTACTTCATAACTTAAGTCTGGTCTTGTGATCGTCAAATAAATAAACCGACCTACTAGACGATGATATTGTTACGGATTAGCAAATGTATGACTGTCCACAGAGCCAAGTTTATGGTTGAGTTCCATGGGAACAGCAGATGGTTTACAACCCAACAAGACAGTCTCTGAGATGATATCGAGCGTGTATTTACGCTGAGAGAGGCAAAACCCATCACGACCACGGCAAACCTCAATGCCTAAAAATACTTCAGTTTACCAAGATCTTTAATGTGAAAGCAATCGTTGAGATGTACTTTGAAGCAATCAGTCAGATCGAGATCATTATCAGCAAGAATAAAATCATCCACGTACACGAGAATGTGTAAGATTTTACCATCTTTTGTGTAAGAGAAGAGTGAGTAATCCTCCTTACTTTGCTTGAACCCAAACTGCCAGAGAGCTGTAGAGAGTTTGGCAAACCAGTAATAAAGGGCCTGTTTAAGACAATATAGAGATTTTCTGAGGCGATGAACTTTATTTGGGTCTGAAGACTTAAACTCCGGAGGAAACTTCATGTAAACCTCTTCAGTGAGATCACCATGCAAAAATGCAATGTGAACATCTATTTGATGGACTTCCCAATCTTTCGTAGCAGCAACACTTAGAAGATAACGGACTGTGGTGATTTAAGCAACTAGAGCAAAAGTTTCATTGAAATCGGTATCCTCTTTCTGTCGGTTTCCACAAACTACCAATCGAGCTTTGTAGCGCTCGAGTGTTTCATCTACGATAAACTTTAACTTGTACACCCATTTACAATTGATAGCTCGCTTGCGTGGAGGCAAGTCTGTTATATCCCAAGTATGTTTTGCCTCGAGAGCTTCAATTTCTTTTTGCATTGCTTCACACCATTTTTTAATATGTGCTGCATCCTTAAAATATTTCGGTCAACTGTAGAATGTTTCTAGGATATGTGTCCATACTATTAAACTTTCATTTTTATATACTATATATAGTAACTACGTGAACTGATGATCACCCATTAGGTCTTAATCTGCCAAAATAAATATTCTATTTTAGCAAATAATAGGGAAAACTCCATGATTTATATGAATTCGTGAAAGAGTTCACACTTAAATTGCTGGAGTATATTGAAAGAAGACATGAAAAATCTTCACTTTTTTGCGCGATTGGTACAGTAAAACTTTGATCGTAAATTTTCTACAAAACAAATAGCACTGACACATCTAAAAATGAATAGAAAAAATGTGATTAAATGAATTAATTTTAGTTATTTTATCAAACTGTAGAAGAATGTGTTTCGTTGTATTTTATTTATTTTTCTTTGGAATTGATTCCTTCCAACTTAAGATAAAATCACAAAACAGTTATGGAATCAATTTTTAAAAAGTAAATATTCCACATTATTTTACTTATATCAATCTTTTCGCAATATATTTTAATTATTTTAAAAGTGTCATTTATTAATGGGAGGCAAATGTTTAAATGGGTGAATTGATTAAAGCATCCTAACCTTACTTTATTTTTTCACCAAATAAAAATATTTTAATGATATTCTATTTTCTACTATGTAATAAAGTAAAAAAGGGTTTACTTTAGATATAGAGTATTTGTTTATTTTTTATTCTATCACTCTATTTTCATTTTAAAATAGACTAAACACACAATTTTATTATATAATTAATCTTTTTAAGAAGAAAAAAAGTGAAGCAACAGAGATATTTTCAGCGATTTGCAAATATAAACGTTGCAACGAAATTTAGTTTTCTTACTTTGGCAGCTTATTTTTCAATCAATAAAGGAAAGATTATCCCATAATATATCTTAATTAGTGATATGGTTTTGCAGTGAACATTAAGCTTATGATTTAGAGTAATTGCATTGCATATACAAGAAAAATGTGCATATTAGCGATATACCTTTTTTTTGTCGCCTAGCACTAACCTTCGTTGTTGTCATGACCATTTTACCCCTACACCCATAGAAAACTTCGGTTGTATCGAAACCCAATGCTTGCTTCTTCTTTTCTTCGTTTATCCAACTTCTATACGAAACCGTAACATGTGTCGACTTTACCAATCAGATTATTTAATTATTTAATATAATTTACAAAACGGTTCAATCGAGGCAGTGTAAGGACACATCTCTTTGTTCTACATATAAGTCTCTGTTCGTTGAAAAGAAACCAGAGACTTCGAAACTTAACCTTTTTTTTTCTCAATCTTTCTTGTGTTGAACAAGAATCGCTAAATGGCGACAACCGACGTTGACCCTCCTCATTCATCTTTCCCCGAAAGAATGTTTGCTTTAGGAGAAGAACCAATGGGCATTAGGGTAACTCCGTACCACAAACCCTCGTGCATTTCAAAGATTCTCAACGCCTTAACAGAAGACGAAGTCAATTTCATAAGAGAATCTTCATTTGGGAAACTCATAGAAATCGCAGAGAAACCTTCATTCTCCGGTCGGGTGGGCCGTTTCTTGTTCTCAAGATTATTGAAGACTCGCAAGAAGCACGAGGCGTGGTTCCTATTTGCCGGAAAACCAATCAGATTCTCAATCAGAGAATTCGCACTTGTCACTGGTCTCAATTGTCGTCGATACCCACCGCAGACGAAGAAGAGAAGCAAGAAGTTCTTATCAGAGACGCCTTACTGGGGAGAGCTTTTCGGAACTTTAACCGAAGTTCCTGTTAATTCGGTTGTGTCAATGCTGAAAAACAAGACCGTTACCGACAGAGGAATGAGGTTAAAGTACGCACTTCTCGCTCTGCTTTCGGCCGTTGTCCTTCCAACGTCACACAAACCCCGTATTTTACATCCAACCGCTGAGAAGATCAGAGACATTGATCAGTTCCTTGCTTATCCATGGGGCCGCACATCTTTCGATTTGCTAATGAGTAGTATCAAAGAGAGGGATGAAGTATCACTATCACAGAATACCATTGCTTTCAAAGGTTTTGTGATGGCAATCCAGCTTGTTCTAATAGAAGCAGTTCCTTCTCTTCTGGGGGTTGTAAGAGAAGGAGATTCGTCTGGATCCGAAGCAGACTCTGAAGAGGAGGAGGAATCAGCAGTTGTAGATAGGGAAGGGAAGAAAAGCATGAACACGGTGCTTATACGTTCTATTGATTCTGCTGGGAAGGTATTCCTCTTAACATACCATGTTTCTTGTCGTGTTTAATACTTTGATTTTGAAACACTTTATAGATGGGTTCATGTTCATGTCTTCTGGTAGTTGTTAGCGTTGACAAATAAATTACTCTCACATATACAAAATATTTTAGCCGGTTACATTTTTTTCGTTCATGTCAGGGCACTCAAGGCATTCTCGTTTGTATCTGACTTTTTTCAATTTTTTTGTAGGTAAAAGTTGTTTCCATCATATCTGATGGTGCTGAACTACCCAATTGGGAGCCAGGCGTGGGATGCGACGACGACGAAGATGCTCTCGTTGACAACATGGTTAGAGCAGTTCGTGAAGGGTTTGAATTTTCAAACTCAAACTTCAAAGGTGGTGCAACCAAATCTGATGTTTGCCGTATGCGTGATGAAGCTATCAAAGCTAACAAGAACCGTAAAGAAGCAACTCTCCGTCAGAAACAGCCCGCAACAGAAGGGATAGATGCCGAGTATCTAGCCTCTATTGTGGCTAACAGGGTGTCTGCAGACCTATCCAATATGGATGGTCAAATAAAAGACATAGCTCTGTCTCTACGCAATTCGCAAGAAGAATTTCAAAAGAAAATGGAAGACATTTTGAGAAGGTCGTTGAAGGAAATCACAGAATCGATCACCAATTCTTGCACCCGCCCTCACGTTCAACAGTCTGTCGAAACTGAACAAGACAACACTGGAAAAGAGTCTCGCCCTGAGGGACAAACATCTTCATTTGTTGCTTCTGACATTATTGAAGAAGCTCTCCGTTTTGCTAACAAGGAGGCAAGCCACAGACGTGAAGTAAGTCCACCGTTTTTTGTTTTTTTAGTTCTTTCCACCTTGTTTTGTTGCCCATCAACGTTTTTTGTGTTATAGATAACTGCTTTCACCATTTGTTTTATCAAACAAACCTTTGTCACAATAGTCACTATTTTATTTCCTTCACCGTTTTTCAGCAGTCAAATGAAGCGTTCATGACCAACGACATGGCTCACGTTTCCGGAGGTGGTGGCGATGATCAAGAGACCGTATCAAACCGCGATATTTCAGAGAAAGACACTGTAAACAAGCGATACTTTATCTTGCTGTTTATATATAACGTTATAGTGTAATGATTGCAGTCTTTGTTATCACGCCACCAAATACCCTTGCATAAACACTAGCATTCTGTAGCAGTCCAACAACCTTATACATTCATTGCTCGTTCAACTCATCTTGTCTTACATTGTACAGGTTGAACCCGATGTTCTCCCTACTACTAGCGTGTCCGAGAGAAGGACTGGGCCCTCCTCTGTCCCCGGGAAAGCAAATGAGGTTTGTGTGCGGGTTTTGATGTTACTGTTTACAACGTTTTTTTCTTTATTTATTTATTTTTACTTTGCTGGTGGTGCTCTCAACTGTAGGAAACCTCTGGAAATGGTCTGGCATTTCCAGACCCCTCCTTCTCTATCGGTCTCACCCAGCTTATCAACGAAAATGCTCAAAACGTGGATCGTGTTCCACACGAAGACAGTGATGAGTCTTTACAGGAAGACGATGTCGATTTGGAAGAACCTATTCTCAACCGTAAAAGCAAGAGAACCAAAGTTGTGCCAAGAAACCTTGTCGGTGACTACCAGTGCGACAGTGGGATCATGGCTCGCGCATGGGAATCGTTCATCGATGCGATATGCATCACCCCACGCATTGACTACGCTGCCAAATTTTCGAACCTGCTCGAGATACTCGGTGGATCTAAAGTGTAAGACAAGCATTATTACGTGCTAACTTAAAAACTAACCTTGTAATTTTTCTATATTCCGTAAATGCATGACTAGATTGCCGATAACATTCTTATTAGCAGTGCTATAGATATGGGTGGCACAAGTCTCCAGTCCAGGGAACTGTCTGCAATTGTTGATAGGTCTTCCCATTTAACTCCTAAGGTACATTTTGCCTAAACTCACTAAATACGTCACTATACTAGTGTCCTTTGTTAACAATTTTTAATTCAACCTTTTTTTTTTCTGATTTTGACAGATGTTGGATGTACTCATTCACCACACACGTTCTATTTGTCTAGCTAATCCGGACCACCTGCATTCGAAGAAATCCGTTTTCCTGGATACCAAGTTTCTGTCACTCCTCTCTAAGGCATTTAGCAAGTTCTCAAAGGCGGTTAAGAAAGACAAAGTTCGTGTCGCAGCACCCTTGTGCTCGCTTTTGGCTGACAATTGTCCAATCACTGAAGTTAGTCGTTTCTATTTCCCATTCAACTTCGACAAAAAACATTGGGTCGGAGTTTGTGTCGACTTGTCTCTATACAAGGTCATTGTGCTTGACTGCAACACATCTTTGAAGACGGACACAACGGTGGCAGCAGACATGCGACCCATCACACAAATGTTCCCCTATATTCTTAAGCAAGCCGGAAGACAGCTTACTTCAAAGGAGATGAAGCCTCTTACCCTTGATAGGCCACGAACCGTGCCTCAGAACAAGAATCTTTTCGAGTCCGGCGTCACATCTGTGATGCTTATACAGGCTCACGCGGTTGGTGGGATTGATGCATGCAAATGTATCACTCCGGAAGTTCTCGACACCGAGGTTCAACGGATGGCTGTTATGGTGTACGAAGAAAATGTAGCACCGCTGTGATGTAGTGTCTGTGTTGTGTGTGTCCCCTAAACTCCTATGGTTTAATCATGCTTTCTGTCATCTTTTTGTTTCTTCAGTATGTTTTAGCACGTTAACTCGTATGAGTTTATGTTTTGCTTTTGGAAGTTATGGATGTTCTTTGTTTTGTCGTCGTTTTTCGAAATCTCAGTAGGTAAAATATGATGAAGTATCTTTCAGTTAGCGTGCTAAAGCATTTGCATATCACCGGCTAAATAGTGATCTCGTACAATCAAGCCTTGCATTCGATATTTATTCAACACAACAATATCTATGCTAATGTTTTCGTTTCATCATTAACAAAAATTTAAGCCGGCTAATGATTTAGTGTAGACGAAACCCACAGACTATATTTTTGGGCCCTATACTAAGATAACCATTTACACGTCATTTTATAAGATTTTTGGGTTATGTGTTTCAGAAAATTTGTCGTTTAGTAGGGTTGTAGCTACCTTACATTGGTTATGTTCACATCAGCATTTATGCTTATGTAACCATACATCTATCTTCTTGGCTAACAAATAAATTGGCCGGAAATAATTTGTTTTTTTACACGCATTATAAAGACAAAGATTTTGGGCCCATTTTTAAAGATGTTTTCAAATCCGGTCCACTTGGACAGTAATTTTATGCCGACGCCTATTTAATATTTGTTTATCTCTCCTCTGGAGTTTTCTTGTCTGATTTTACCCTAGCCGCCGTCGAGCCAAAAGGAATGACGAACATATCAAAGAGCACCTCATCCTCGCAGCGAGGTAATGATAGTACTCCGTCAAATTTGTCACCGTCCCATCATCTCTGATTATGTATTTTTTCCATTTTTTAGCTATCAGTAGCTGTCGCAGTCGCGGAGCAGAAAGAAGTAGGGGGATTCCGACCAATTGTAGATGCGGTGAGGTTGTCGTTATCAGGACTTCCGGTACGGTCAAAAACCCTGGGCGATTGTTCTACTGTTGTCCCCTTGGATCTGAAGGGGTATACCTTTCAGGATAAATATCACCAATTTCAATTTTTTTTTAAAAATTTCACCAATTTCGTTGAACCCTATAAAAATCCTAGATTATGTTTCAGGATAAATATCATCTTTTTACCTGGACCGACGAACGTATAGTGGAAGAAGTGGAGGATATGAAGCTGTGTTTGTATGATTTGAAAGATGAGTTAACGGAAATCAGAACGGAAGTGTGTGGATTGTCGAAGCAACTGGGTAAGAGCCAGCACACTCTCGACATGTACACTAATAGGAGTTTTAGTGGATGTTGTAGTATATTGTAAGTTCTTTTCCCACTTTTCTGATGGTCGCGCCTTCAATGTAAGTTATTTCGGTGTAAAGACATCCAACATCAATGTCTTATCTTGTCTTACCTAAATGTATTGTATTATAATGTAGACATTTTAACGGTCCCAATATGTATTTTTATGAAAACTATGCCGAACTTGACTTTCATTGTTGTTGTTAATCTTCACTAATGTACTTATCAATGTATGCGACTAGGTTAAGTTTCTTAATTTCAGTCTTGAACGAAACCTAAGTATCTGTAAATCGTTATCACCATATTTACTACCGATAACCAGCTTCACATAGGATTAGATATGCTACAATTTTGGGATAATATTTATTACAACAAGTTAGCAATCTAAAACCGATTTCACATAATACACAAATATCGTTTTTCAATTGGTACTATGTTGAACAAAAATGTTTAGAAACAATGTCAAATTAGTTTCTAGCTCGTCTAATAAATACATTAGCATGCTCATATATTTGTTCACTCTCGTAAATTTTTTTTTTTTGTTGGCAGTACCCTTTTTCTCCCTCAAGTGAGTATCTGTTTCCAATGTAAACAAATACGTTAGCTTGTTACACAACGTAAAGCTCATGCAGTTTTTCTGTCTTTTATCATGTTTCTCATTTGAATCTCATTCACCATTTTTAGTTGACAACTTGGAAATTGTTATCCAATTGTTATTTCCGGAAGTTAACAACAATGCAAAACAAGTCTACATTATCTCTATAAACGCAGCACCAAAATACACAAATAGCGTTTTTTCAATTGGTACTCTGTGGAACCAATATTTATAGTAACAATGTCAAAGAAGTATCTAGCTCGTCTATTAAATACTTTAACATGCTATAATATGGTTAATTTCATAAAGATTCTTGTTGCTAGTATTTCTTTCTTCCCAAGGGAGTATCAGTTTCCAATGTAAACAATTACGTTAGCATGTTACACAATGTAAAGCTCATGCAGTTTTCTGTATTTATCATGTTTCTCATTTCAATCTCATTCACCATTTTTAGTTGATAACTTGGAAATTGTTCTCCAATTGTTATTGCCGGAAGTTAACAACAATGCAAAAAAAGTCTACATTAGCTCTATAAATGTATCCACAAAATATACAAATATCGTTTTTCAATTGGTACTCTGTGGAACCAAAATTTGTAGTAACAATGTTAAATAAGTATCTAGCTCATCTATTAAATACATTAGCATGCAATAATATGTCCATTTCCATAAAGATTTTTGCCACCAGCATTTTTTTGTTCGTCAAATTATTATTTTTTTGCAATGCAGACAAAGACGTTAGCATGTTATAAAACGTAAAGATCATGCAGCTTTCTTTTTTATCATGTTACTCAATTAAAAATCATTCACCAATTCATTCGAGAACTTGGAAATTGTGATTCAATTGTTATACCCGAAAGTTTACAACAATGCAAACAAGTATACATTAATTCTACAAATACATTTACCATGTTAACATTATACATTTCACAAAAGGAGAGTTATGGAGACTATGAGAGAATTCAGAACATATCTATCCAATTCAGAACATATATTTTGGGTTTAAGAAAGACACGTCAGTTTAAGAAAGTAGGCACCCAAAATAAACGGAGGAAGTTTTTATTTATGATTACAATGCGATACATCATAACTACTACATCCCTTTCATGACTGGTTTTTTTTCATAGTGCTCATAAACTTTAGACAATCCATGAGCCTACACCCAATATGATTCCACCTCTTTCCGGACAACATCCCTTCGCATCAAACTCCCTCCAACATACTTTTTCCAACTTCTTATATTGCTTCCTTACATGTAGCTTTGTTGTGTCCCAATCCCCTACAACGGCTACACAAAGTCCTCCTTCTGATCCGCTTCATCTGAAATCCGGTAAACGTTAAACTGTTAACGAGATATTGTAAAATGTAACTCTACTAATATCAGCTTATGTGACTTACGATCTTTTCCCCCCTTGAGAGGAACCTTTGTTTCTTTGGTCTACCAGGTGGCCTTCTGGTGGTTGGAGGGTATAACTTCATACCACCCAAACCATCAGCCAACTGAGTCACCTCGATATTGTCTGGCACCGGGAGCACACTCCCTGCATACGCGCACCTCAGCTGATCCACAGTGTAGGCTGGCAAAACCAAAGATTCGACACTAATTTGCCCCTTTATGGCCGCAGCAATAGCATGGGAACATGGTATAGCAAGCATCTGAAACTCGTAGCAGCTACAAACCTTGTTAGCAAGGTTCACATGAAAGCTACCACCGTTCTTGTTACGCACTTCATACTCATCCTCCGCTATTAGAGTAACCAAGTAGCCCCCACCAATTTCAAAATTTCTCGTTAGCATACCCGCGACTTTCGGTGTCATAGCGCCTCTATTCTTGTTCGCCGCATCCCGGCGAGTAGCAAACCACTCTGTCAATTTGGTGCGGATGAAGTCGATCAATGGTATTACAGGCAATTCCCGCGCTTCACGCAACACGGCATTCCAAGACTCCGCCAAGTTGCTTGTCATGATATTGTAACGGTTCCCAGGGAAATGGGCTCTTGCCCAATGCTCCAGACCAATGTCCAGGAGATACTCTGCGCAACCTGCATCCATGCTCTTAATCTCGTTGAAAATGCTATAGAAATCTTGGAGCCTGAAAGTACGCGCTGCCTTCGCTACGAGATACTCCAAGTGTTTTGCTCTAAAATTTGAACGTATGTTCCTCTTCAAATGCACAACACATATGCAATGCCCTGCTGTTGGATACACCTGCATCCAACAAAATCGTAAATGCGTTAGCGCAG